AAGCCTCAAGTGGTGGTCCAACGGAAATATTCTTTTTTTTTCTTTCTTTCTTTTTTTTTGGAGAGATAGTTTTCTCTCATAATTCTCATAACTTCTCCAACATCCCCCTCTTGCCTATAAATACCCCCCTTTGGGTTAAGAAATTCTTGCACCTCCCCCTCTCTATCTCTTCTTTCAATTGAGGCCTTCCCTTAGCCTTATACGGGTGGTATCCCTCATCCAGGCTCATGGCCCCTCTCTTTGTAATAAGGTGATCCGCCCTTCATCTCTTCTTTCCTTCTGCCCTCTTTCTATACGGGAGGCTTTCCCCTGCTTTTTGATAGGTGGCATCCCTTATCTGACTGTACTGTCCATCCCTATATAGAGGGCATATCGGGTGGCCATTCTTCTTCGAGAGATCCCGCGACCAAGAGGGATTCACATCTGTAGTTGGTTGGCGATGAAGGTCGGAGAGATCGTTGTAAGGAGGGAGGTTGAAAAAACTGTTGACAGGTAAAAATTCGACGTTGGGTAGAAATATGGCGTCGGGTAGGAGTCTGACGATGGACAGAAGTCCGACGAAGGGTAGAAATTTGGGGTCAAGTAGAAATCTGATGATGTGCATAAATTCAACGTCCAGTAGAATTCCAAAGTCGGGTAGAAGTACAGCAATGGTAGAAATTCAACATCGGCTAGAAGTACAACTGTGAGTTTGTTGGAGAGAGATTTAACCTTTGAGTTGGTAAGGCTTTGGTGAAAAGATCAGTTAGTTGATCCATTACACATAGGTGATGGACGGAGATGCTTTGTTTCTTGATACAGTCTCGGATGAAGTGGCAATCCACTTCGATATGTTTTATGTGGTCGTGGAATACCGGGTTGTTGGTGAGGGCTATGACAGATGTGTTATCGTAGTATACTGTGGTAGGTGCTTTTTCGGGTGTATGAATGTCTTCTAGGAGTCGTTTGAGCCATAGGATTTCTGAAGCTTCTACGGCGAGGGCGCGATACTCTGCCTCTGTGGAGGATCGGGCTATTGTATTTTGTTTCTTGACTTGCCACGAGATGAGCGAGTTGCCTAAAAAGTTGCAGTAGCCGGAGATAGACTTTTGATCTTGGTTGTTGCAAACCCAATCTTCATCGATGTATCCTCGTATAGTTAAAGCATTTTGGTTTAGGGGAATACTTGTGGCGATGGATCCGTGAATGTAACGAAGAAGACGCTTAAAGGATTTGTTGTGAATGTTGAGCGGAGTTTGCATATGTGACGCCCCAGGCATCCATAGTGAAAGGATTCGTCTGACAGTCTTACTTTCTTCCTCTTTTTTTTTTCTTTTCTCGCTTAGACCAATACAGACATCCAGAAATGATAATTACATTAAAGAAACCATATACATCAAAATACTATAATTCACATTTCAACATTTCATATACACAGTCCAAAAGAACATGTACAATAGCCACTCGGGCTACAAAACAAAGCCAGAACATAAACTACAAAAACTCATACTAGCGTCTGAAAGGAGCTTCACGCGGGAGGCTCTGCACCTGAAATTGTTAACCACATATAATGAGCTTAAATAGCCCAGCAGGTCACCAAAGCCTATAACTGAAATCAAAGCTCGGCACGAAAGTAATACGCATGTCAAATGATTAAATCTAATCCATAACAGTCAGTTGCACATTTTAAATATTTTTTTATCCTCAATAATCTTGCGTAATTGATATATAATAAAAAATTAATCATGATTGGACACAAATCTCAAAGCAAAATCAAGTTGGAAACTTTCAAAATTAAATTCGGGACATCTGAGCTTTGATTTCTACAAACTTATAATTGAACTAAACGTCTCAAAAATACAAACCCAATGACCCCAAATTAAACCCAATTTGGGCCCAAACGAGTCCAAATTGAAGACTCGAACAACATTCAAAAAGTTTAAACCATAAATTGGCTGATTAATCGATTTACAAATGTGACATGCTTATAGTCGAATATGAGCGAATCCACGAGACGAATCTAACGAGCCCAAGATCATTGAATTCTGATATAATTAAAACACTCAAATCCATAATAAACGGTTTATAATCAAGGGAGTTGATATCATCTATTCATTCAAAACACTCCTAACCTGCCCTTGATTTTATCCATATTTAATGGTTATGATACTCCTAAAAAAATTATAAATAGACACCTCATTCTTTAGTGAAAGGGGGCTTAAAAAAGGAAGAGAAAATAAGAGAGAGAGAGAGAGAAACTAGAGTTCTCTTGTCACCATACTCCTCCTCGACTACTGCTAGACCACCATCGGACCAACAACAGTCGTAGGACCACCAACTGACGTCGAACCACCACTGAATCACTAGACATCGTTGAACTTATGCTCGGCCACCAACCATCATCGGATTTCTGCCTGGCTATCAATCCACAACGGACTTCTGCCCAGCTTTCCAAAATATTGTAATTTCACCATCCTTTGGTCAATCATTCTAACCTAGTTAAACAATAGTAGGATCATTTTGACTAAGCGTGATCCCGTGATTTTTCCCTTTTCCAAAAATTTTCACGTAAAAATTATGGTGTCTTTATTATTTCTGTTTGTGAGCTAGATACTCATACAATACTAAGACACGCAATTTTTCCTACTTTGCCGCCACATATATTCTAGCCCGCAACAATAATATTTTTAATTTAAACAAATTATTATCATTAAATTTAATTATGATGAATTTAAAAATCTTTAAATTTATTTTGAAATAACTCTATATTTCCTTCTTTTTATCAAAAAAAAATTGTCCTTACTAATATAACACAATATTTTAATTTACACCAATTAGAAAGAAAATTTAAAATAGTTTAAATTTATTTTCAATAATTTATAATTTTAAATAAATTCAAAAATTAAAAAATAAATCCCTAAAATTTAAAATAACATAAAATAAATTAAACTAGGATGATATTGATAATTTCCTCTCCCAATTTTAAAATTTATTCAATTCGCCTATCCCTTTCAAGCAAAACAAGTATGGCGCGATACACTTTCACCAGAAATATCCAAAGAAAGGGACGTCGGGGTGATAGGGGTGTCTAGGTTCTCTTAACATCCCTTTTTTTTTAATAATTTAGAAGCCGGAAAAGCCAATGGAATATCACATTAAATTAATGACACATGTATGAAGCCCCACGACAAACCTTGCGTCTTTTTTTCCTTTTTTTTTTTTAAATTTTTTTTGCATGATTTCTTAAGCCACCTTTTCAACATGGGACTTTGTTATCTCCACCCTTGATTTTATTTTATTTTTTTACTTTTTTTTTAATTTCAGATTTTCATTACTCCTTCAAATTTGGATATTGAAATTTTCTTCGCGGATCGAGCAATATAACTCATTGGTTGACGGACGCAAAGTTCTTTCACTGCGAGCGCTCGAATCCCATAACCCGTCCCAAAAAAAAAAATTTCTTTTGTTGAATGATGATAATTACGATGATAATGATAAGATGATGCATATTTTTTTATATTTGTAGTGTTATATATTCTTTATTATTTTCTACAAAAATTTTAGGGTTATTGCTGAGGTAAAGATGTATGATATTATTATCATAGTTAGTTTTATCATAAAAATGATATCATTTTGTTGAGTTGGAATTTTGATGTAAAATACAAATTTAAAATCATTATGTTGATATATAGCGAAAATCATCACCATATCGCTAGTTGTGCCATGGAGTCAAAGACTTGGGATCTAACTTCTTGGTCATTGGTTTAACTTTTATTAGGAGAAAGATCGATCGATTCATCAATGAACTCTCGAAGATAACTATATTACCTCAAGATTTCTCTTACTTTAACCTTTAAAACTAGTGGATAATTAAATCACCACTTGGACTATTGATCTTAATCGCTTGTTGACTGTTGGCTGCCCAATCTCCTCTCTTTTTTTTAAGAGGCACTGCTCCAACCACTTCCATTCACCACTAGTCCTTAATTTATCTAATATTCTATGCTTTTTGGTGATTAATTCTAAGCACATCGCGATCTAATGTGAAATAACATTATTGCATTTTCCTCACCACCATATGAGAGAAAATTCCATACATTAAAGTTCTTTACATTTAGCAACATTTTCTCTGCTCTTAAGAGAAAAAACAAACCTTCACAATTTAAGATCACAAAACAAAATTATTTTGATTGCGCCATGAACACCATAAATTTTTCTTTTTAAATTTTAATAGTCTTTTATATGTCCCATGCATTTTAACTACATTTGTGATTGTGTTGATCATCATTTAAAATCAAATAAATAAATAATTTTTTTCTTTATATACACCAACAAACAATAATTGTGATTAATTCTTAAATTTGGTCTGATTGCGCTCTATTTTATTTAGATGAATCAATAAAAATGCAAAAAGTATTTCAGATAATTTTATCCCCAATATTATTTTTATATAAATTTATTTTGAATTCAAGATTTGCTCATATTAATTTTTGAACTTTATTCTAAAAAAAAACTCTCAATAATTCCAAATCATTTTTAATTTATTGAGTAATTTTAAATCTCATATTATTATACTAAAAATATACTGCTAATCTTGATCTCTTGATAGATATGAAGTTTTGATTATCAATTAAAAGATTTTGAATTCATAGTCTGTGTATGTGACGTGAGAGTGAATTTGATTTAATTGATCTAAATATTAAAAAAATAAAAAAAATAAATATTATATATTTAATAGATATGGTATCAATTTTAATAGTTTTTAAAGATCATTTGAGCTCACTAAAAACAAAATAGCTAAACCCCCTTTCGAGATTAGTGCATTTAGACCTACCGTACGGACAGTTGATTGTTATTATTATTTTATTTACTTTAAAAAGTTATAAAAATAAGTAATTTGGGTGGGGGTGGCAGTGGGTGGGGCGGGCGGTAATTACAAACCAGTGTAGGTTTGGGAGAATTTCGGAGTGAAAATAACAAAGCTTTTTCTTCATCCTTTCGGAACCTTTTTATCTCACATTCATTGTATTTTTCTCTTCAGCTGCGTCTCGTACCCTCCGCTGCTGCCTCCTTGGCTTGGCTGTCGCTGCCCACTGGATCAAAGCTCGAAAAGACCAGACTCTTCCACAACCTTCTTATCCATTTGAACGTGGAAATGGAATGCGGTGAAAGGGCGGACAACTGAGGACCAGTTCCTCGATTTTCTCGATCCGAAAGAGACGAGGAAAGAGCGAACCTGCTGGATTGCCTTTGTTTGGATTCTTTTTCTTTTTTTTTGTTTTGATTAAAATGAGATCGAGCCGACGGTTAGAGAGCGAGGTGTTGGAGAAGTGGATTCACAGGTACTGATTTTCGTCCCCACGACGGATCTTTAAGGATGTGGGCGATCTGGATTTTGGTAGTACGATCGTTTTGTCTTGAAGGTGTTTGTTCTAGCCAGTTGGTAGTTTTGGGATTAGTTGGTGTCTTTTTACCTGTTCTTAGATCTTAATAATGGGTTTTTGAGCATTTATTGTGTATTTCATGCCGATCCCGATCATTTGGTTTGTAAATGTTTGATATTCAGTGCTGCTTTTAGCGAAGTGTTTCATCTCACTCGCTTTCTTGGCTTAGCTCAATTTTTGCGGGCAAGAGATGGTTTTGAAAACGCGATTCTGGAATTTAGAATTGGATAGTTGGTTTTTCGGTCGATGCTACTAATCACTTTAACAGTGGAAGAGCCGGGGCTCATTAACTGTATGATCTTTTTTTTTTTCTTCGTTAAATCTTCTGCTGCTAGGTGTTTTTTCCCCCCTCTAGTTATTATTTGCTAAGTATCTTTTTAAATTGGATTTAGGGCTCACGAAGGTGACTTGAAGGCAAGGAGTTAGGTATTTATCTCTTGGAGGAGTCCCTATTGATTTTGGATATTTAGTGGTTATTTTACAGAAATGGATTGAATGAAGTTCCCTCCGATCAAATGTTGAGAGCATTGTGCCATGGCTTGCTGTTTATGTTACTTATGCTTTCTGCTTCGGCCATTGAGATTGGATATCCTCGCTGCAATTGTGATATTGACGGCTTCTTGAGCGCTGAAGGCATCCTTCAATGCCAGAAAGTAAGCGACTTCTTGATTGCGGCTGCATACTTTTCCATACCTCTTGAGCTCTTATATTTTGCAACATGCTCGGATCTGTTCCCCTTCAAATGGATCGTCTTCCAGTTCGGGGCCTTCATAGTCCTTTGCGGACTTACCCACCTGCTCAATGTGTTTACATACGAACCTCACTCATTTCTATTGATGTTGAGCCTCACGATATCCAAGCTCTTCACTGCACTGGTCTCTTTTGCGACTGCAATAACTCTCTTAACTTTGATCCCTCAGCTTTTGAGAGTGAAGGTGAGGGAGAATTTTCTGAGAATAAAAGCGAGGGAACTGGACAGGGAGGTTGTATTGATGAAGAGGCAAGAAGAGGCGAGTTGGCATGTGAGAATGCTAACTCAGGAGATTCGGAAGTCCCTTGATCGGCATACTATCCTCTACACAACTTTGGTTGAGCTTTCAAAAACCTTGGGGCTGCAGAATTGTGCAGTTTGGATGCCTGATGAAGGTAGGAAGGTGATGAACTTGACCCATGAGTTGAGACAAAGACGCTATGAGCAATCAATTCCCCTTGATGATCAGGATGTAGTAGAAGTTAATGAATCAAAGGGTGTAAGAATACTTAGACCCAATTCTCTGCTAGCATTGGCAAGCAGTGGGTTGGCAAGCAGTGGGGGAGATCCTGAGCCAGGACCTATTGCTGCAATTAGGATGCCGATGCTGAAGGTGTCCAATTTCAAGGGTGGGACACCAGAGCTAGTCCAAGCCTCTTATGCTATATTGGTCCTAGTTCTCCCTAGAGCTGAATCTAGGATTTGGAGCTGTCATGAGCTAGAGATTATTGAAGTAGTTGCTGATCAAGTTGCTGTTGCTCTTTCACATGCTGCTGTGTTGGAAGAGTCACAGTTAATGAGGGATAAACTTGCTGAACAGAATAGGGATTTGCTGCAAGAGAAGCAGAATGCCTTGATGGCAAGTGAAGCAAGAAATTCTTTCCAAAGGGTCATGAGCCAGGGAATGAGAAGGCCAATACACTCCATTTTGGGACTGTTATCTATGATGCAACAGGAAAAATTGAGTTCTGAGCAAAAACTTATCATCAACACTATCACAAAAACCAGTGGTGTTGTTTCAACTTTGATTACCGATGCAATGGAAATATCTAATATCGACAGCGAGAGGTTGACTTTGGAGATGAAATCTTTTCATTTGCATTCTATGATCAAAGAGGCTGCTAGCGTTGCTAGGTGTCTTTGTGATTGTAGAGGATTTGGTTTTGGTGTTCAGGTTGATAATGCTGTGCCTGATAGAGTTGTTGGTGATGAGAAGAGAATATTTCATGTTATACTCCATGTGATTGATAAATTGTTAAGTGGTTATGATGATGGATTTGTTAGTTTCCAAGTTCATTCCTCTAGTGAGGCCCAAGACAGTCAAGATCACGAATGGATCATATGGAAATCAAACTTTCCAGGTGTTTCTGTAAAGTTTGAGATTGGGATCAGAACACCTGACTGTAGTGACTCAAGTACATCTGTTCCACAAGCTTGGAGACTGAATGCTGAAGGCTATGACATGGGCCTGAGTTTCAATATGTGCAAAAAACTTGTGCAGGTAAGCATGTTTAAATCCTAACTTTCTAGATTAAACATCAAAGTCAATGAATTCATTATGCGGATGTGGAACTTTAATTTTCTTCTACTTTAGATAAAATTAATTTTCTTGTAATATTGGTATTAGATATTGCAATACTTTAAAGTTTTAATTCAAGCTATTTTGCATAGGTAAGAATTATCTTATGATAGAGTGTGGCTATAATTTATGTGAAATTTGTTTCTGTAAATTTCATCTAATTTTTAAACTTGATGTAAAGTTCCCCTTAGTAGATTCCAAAGATTTTAAAATTTTTATAAACTTTTCTTAACATATGGTGATATCGGTTTATTGGTAAGATCTATAATAAATATTTAGGTTTTTTTACCCCTCATAAACCCACCAAGTCTCTTGTTGTGTGACATCTTTCCATGTTGATGTAGTGTGCCACATCTTGAAAACTTCAACTATTAAGCAAGCAATTAAAACAAGAAGTTAACACCTTCTCGAAGATAAAAGGCCATTCATCCAAGCCTCCAATTCTAAAATTATAACTAATTTATATAACTTTTCTTAATGTATGGGTTTATGGGTAAGATCTATAATAAATATTTTAATTTTTGCTTTCATTGAATACAAAATGAGCATATACGTGAAAAGGTTGGAGTAGCTCCAGTGGAAGATAAGATTAGAGAGAGTTGCCTTAGATGATTTGACTACATTATACGGAGGCCTTCCGATGACCCTGTTAGAAAAGTTGAGGTATTAGATTTGATTTATGTTAAGAAAGGTAGAGATAGACTTAAAAAGGCTTGGTTAGAAAATATTAGAAATGATTTGTCTTTATTAGATTTAAATGAGAAATTGACTTTTAACAGGACACAATGATGAAAAAGGATTAATGTAGCCGACCACACGTAGTGGGACAAAGGCTTGATGTTGTTGTTGTTGTTGTTTCATAAAGCTTCTTTTTGCATGACATCCTTCCATGTTGATGGAGTGTGCTACATCTTTTAAATTTCAACTATTAAGCTAACAATTTAAACAAGAAGTTAACACCTTCTTGAAGACAAAAGGCCATTGGCACAAGCCTCCATTTCTAAAATTAATATTGTGCTATTGAGAATTTTTGTTAATCCAATCAAGGGAGTGAATTTTATGAAACCCTAAAGTTTGGCTTGATGATGGACAAGGCATGGGCTATCTTGGCTATAAGCTCTTCAAATCTTAAGTATGCAATGAATGGGATTTGTAAGATCAATCGAATAAGTAAAAAAAAAAAGTTTGACTCCCCAACTTAATAGTTCTAGCAGGGGGCAATGATTGATGCGAACTTCGCTCAAATCAATTAGATGAGATGATGCAATGTGTACTTCATAATTTAAGCCATGATAAAATATTGATGGGAATAATTGCAAAGTGAGATTTAATGATCCATCCATATTAGGTTTGGAGCTAAAACAAACTTATTCTCAATGAGTTGAGTTGGGTTTAGGGATGTAAACAATTTGAGTGCAGGTTGAGTTATCCTTTGCTTCAGCTTGAGGTTTATTAATTAATCGAGTTTGAGCTCGATCTCAAGTTTCATTCTATAAGTTTGAGTCGGCTCATGATGCTACTCATTTATTATGAAAGAGAAAAGTAATTATGGTTTAAGCATTATTATAATAAAAAAAAAGAGAAATTAAAAGAGAAATAATAAAAATCATGGGGTATAAGAAAGCGAGATATAATTTTTAAATATTTTTAACAACATCATATTTAAACTCCTTAATGCTAATATAGTATAATGTATTTTACATTAATATTTTTTAAACAAGTCACGTAACGAGCTAATGAGACGAGTCTAATTTGGCTCAAGTTTGACTTGTTAGCTCATCAAACTCAATTTACGAGCCATCTATGTTGCCCCGATATACCTATTTATGTAGGCGTGCTGTATCCGATACACCGATACACGGATACGCCTCCGATACTCCACCGATACTTGTCGGATACGCCAAAGCCGTATCCAATTAAAATACTATTTAATTTCAAAAGGACACGCGTATCTGATACGCGTGTCCATTGAAATGTTGGGTCGACTTAATTTGATCCTAGCAAAACCCTAGTCCAGGGTTTTTCTTCGTGAATGAGTGTAGGGAAGGGTAGGCAGTAATGACCACCTTACCTTAAGGTTGATGGACCCTTGACTGATGGTGCCACAAAGCCCTTCTAAACTTACCATTAGAAAGAAGGTGGCAAAAATCAAGGGAGCAATAGTTTAGGAAAGGAGAGTATGATGTATGTGTGTAGAAATTTCATAAATGATGAGTGGCAACCTAAGAAAAAATTGTTAGCATTGGAGGTTGCTATACCAAGTGAACAAGAAATCAACGTTACTGACCCAACACTATAATTGTGGTCTGAGCTCTTAAGTGAGATAGGACATTTATTATAGGGAAGAAACACAACAACTCACCCAAATTTTTATGGTTGGAGGTGGGTTGAATTTTCATTGTTGGAGTTGGGTTGCTAGTCCACATTGGGATTGTGATAGGAAACACTTGTAGATCTCAAGTATTTCCTATCAATCTTCAGAAAACGGTGAGAATTCTCCACCAAAATCCACATAAAAACAGGAAAACAGTAGATAATTTGTATTATTTGATGAAATAGAAACGGAAAATAGCAAGATAAAGTTGATCCTCAATTCGAGAGGAGGATTGATCACTCCCAAATCTCTAGACGCCCTAGAGCCCAAAGGAAAACTTAAATGTAAGAGATCTCAAATTTCAACCAAATTCAAGATGCCCTAACCCTAAGAAAACAGACTATTCAATGCATACAAATCAAAAGGAAATCCCTAAACAGTCCTGACATTCAAATTTCCCTCCCAAAACCCTAAAAAATCCTTCCTAAAATTTTCGGTTGGCTCTTGCGATCCGAATGGCTACTGAAGAGGCGAAGGATTTTTGCCTCTGTTATGCTATAGGCCGGTCCTGCTGGACCGGTCTAACAATGCTCCCCTCCCAAAGATCTACCTTATCCGTAAGGTGGAAAGATGACACCCTCCTCCATTCCTTTTTCATCACAAACGGTAAGAACCTGAAGAGTCCGGTTCTTACACCTGTGCCCCAGAGTATACTTCTCGTCGCATCTGAAACAGAACCCCTTCGCCCTCTTCTAATGTAATTCTGTTTCGTGAGCTTCTTGACGTTGTCCCTAGATCTTCCTCATGCAGTCTTTTCCTTTGAAGTTCCCCGAAGAGTATCCAGTGTTGGCTCTTTGGATGCCAATAAGGTGGTGGTCATCTTGTTTGAGCCTACTGACATACTACCTCCAGTTTCTCTCTCCAGGTGCCTCTGATCCTCCTCCAACTGAGCTAGTTCCATAGCCTTTCCCAAGTTACGATGCCTCATTACTCTAACCACTTCTCGGATCTCTGGTGTCAGTCCTTTCATGAAATTTTTCTCTTGCACTATCTCAGGAAGGCGGTCCAATCAGCTAGCAAGGTACTCGAATCTCTCTCGGTACTCCGTCACTGAACTCTCCTGTGTCAAAACGAAGAACTGCTCATAAAAGTCTCCTCCCCTGCCAGTTCGGAAATGTTTACCAAACAATTCTTAAACTCTCTCCAACTCCGTATGAGTTGTCGCATGTCCCTCCACTGATACCAAGACAAAGCCTTCCATTCTAAACATAGGCCCGCCGCTGTCAGACTCTCCTTCTCTGTCAGCCCATTGACGGCGAAATATCTTTCTACCTTGTAGATCCATCTTTGCGCATCCTTCCCCTCAAAGATTGGCATCTTCAATTTCTTCAACCTTGGGTCACACCCATTTCCCCTAAATCTTTCATTACCTCACATTCCTCGAAGCAGAGGTGCTCCTCAATTGTCACGATCTTCCCTCCGACGATCATACCCAAACCATGCATCAAAATCCTCTCTTCTTCTTTCAAAATCAGCAACCCGACAATCGAAATCATCCACTCTCCTTACAAATTTAGCATCCCTTCTTGCGTAGTCAATGCTCATCTACTCCCTAAAAAGTGGTTCTAGAGGAGTCATTCCATCTTCTCTCTCCAAGATATCCACTTCTGAATTTTCCCTTCCCCTAAACGTGTTAGGATTCCCATCTCTTCCATGACCGTCGGTAGTTTCCTTTGTTTTCGATGTCACCGATTTGGTTTTGGCTTCAAACAATTTCTTTAACATGTTTTCCAACACTGCAAACTTTTCCTCCATCCTTTCATTGACGGATGCAATCTGATTTTGAAAATCAGCAATCTTCTCCTCAAAATCTGCTTTGAGTTGTCCAAATTTTCCCTTCAAAACTTTCACTTTCCTTCCGGCCATTAGTTCCCCTTCGATCGACGTGATCTTATACCAATTTGATAGGAATCACTTGTAGATCTCGAGTATTTCCTATCAATCTTCGGAAAACAACGAGAATTCTCCACCAAAATCCACATAAACATAGGAAAACAATAGATAATTTGTATTATTTGATTAAATAGAAACAAAAAATAGCAAGATACAGTTGATCCTCAATTCGAGAGGAGGATCGATCTCTCCCAATTCTCTAGACGCCGCTAGAGCCCAAAGGAAAATCTAAATCTAAGAGATCTCAAATTTCAACCAAATTCTAGATGTCATAACCCTAGGAAAACAAACTATTTGATGAATACAAATCAAAAGGAAATCCCTAAACAGTCCCTACATTCAAATTTCCCTCCCAAAACCCTCAAAAATCCTTCCTAAAATGTTTGGTTGGCTCTTGCGGTCCGAATGACTATCGAAGAGGTGGAGGATTTCCGCCTTTGTTGCGCTGGGCCGGTCCTGTGCGGACCGGTTGAACCAATCCAATGGACCGGTCTAATAGATTGCCAGCTTGTTTATCCCTGCTTATCAAATCTTCTTAAGGCAAAACATCAACAAAAATATTGCCAACAATGATGAATGAGTAATCGAGAGAAGATGAATGGGTTAAGGAAAGAGGCTCGGAAAACATGGAAGAAGGATGATTACTTAGTGCTAT